CAGCCAAAAGAAATGCGGGGGACCCAGCACCGCGGCAGCAGCAGAGTGCGTGAAGGCAGCAGCGCCTCTAGCGTCTCCGGCTGAAACGCCCCTGAACAACAGCAGCAGCAGCAGCAGCAGATACACAAGCACACACGCCAGGTGCAGCAGCAGCAACAGATGCACCAGCAGTTGATGGAATACCAGCAGCAGTTGCACCAGCAGTAGATGCAGCAGCAGCAGATGAAGCAGCAGCAGCAGATGAAAGAGCAGCAGCAGATGCAGCAGCAGTAGATGGAGCAGCAGCAGCAGATGCAGCAGCAGTATATGGAAAAGCAGCAGCAGATGCAAGGGCAATAGATGGAACAGCAGCAGCAGATGTAGCAGCAGTAGATGCAACCGCAGTAGATGCAGCAGCATCAGTACATACAGCAGCAACAGCTGATGGAGCAGCCGCAGATGAAGCAGCAGCAGATGAAGAAGCAGCAGATAAAGCAGCAGCAGCAGATGCATCAGCAGCAGATGAATCAGCAGCAGCCGATGAAGCAGCAGCAGCCGATGAAGCAGCAGCAGCAGACACAACAGCAGCAGCAGATGAAGCAGCAGCAGCAGACACGACAGCAGCAGAAGAAGAAGCAGCAGCAGATGAAGCAGCAGCAGATGAAGCAGATGCAAGAATATGAGACAAAGGAAGAGACAGAAGAAGAAACAGAAGAAGAGGAGAGATAAAAAGGAGAAGCAAAAGAGGAGACAGAAAGAGAGACAGACAAAGAGACATATTAAAGAATAAGAAAGAGAGAGAGTAAGAGATAGAAAAAGAAACAGAAAAAAAAACAAAAAAAGTTGAGAGACAAACAGAGGCAAAAGAGGAGATAGAAGAAGAGACAAAAGGAGAGAAAGACTAGCATATAGGAGACAGAAGAGGAGACAGAATAAAAGAGAGAGAGAAAGAAGGAGACAGAAGAAAAAGAAAAAAAAAAACACAAACAAAAGAAAAAGAGAGAAGTGTGAAGAAGAGGCAGATGACAC